TAGAGAAGAGCTAACACCCATCTTTCTCAAACTCTTCCAAAAACTTGCAGAGGAAGGAAAACTCACAAACTCATGCTATGAGGCCACCATCACCCTGATACCAAAACCAGAAAAAGATACTACAAAAAAAGAAAATTACAGACCAATATCACTGATGAATATAGACGCAAAAATCCTCAACAAAATACTAGCAAACAGAATACAACAACACATTAAAAGGATTATACACCATGATCAAGTGGGATTTATCCCAGGGACGAAAGGATTCTTCAATATACGCAAATCAATCAATGTGATACACCATATTAACAAATTGAAGAATAAAAACCATATGATCATCTCAATAGATGCAGAAAAAGCTTCTGAAAAAATTCAACACCCATTTATGATAAAAACTCTCCAGAAAGTGGGCACAGAGGGAACCCACTTCAACATAATAATGGCCATATACGACAAACCCACAGCCAACATCATTCTCAATGGTGAAAAAGAGAAAGCATTTCCTCTAAGATCAGGAACAAGACAAGGATGTCCACTCTCACCACTATTATTCAACATAGATTAAGAAAACACTCCCATTTACCACTGCAACAAAAAGAATAAATACCTAGGAATAAACCTACCTTGGAGACAAAAGACCTGTATGCAGAAAACTATAAGACACTGATGAAAGAAATTAAAGATGATACCAACAGATGGAGAGATATACCATGTTCTTGGATTGGAAGAATTAATATTGTGAAAAAGACTATACTACCCAAAGCAATCTACAGATTCAGTGCAATCCCTATCAAATTACCAATGGCATTTTTTACAGAACTAGAACAAACAATCTTAAAATTTGTATGGAGACACAAAAGATGCCAAATAGCCAAAGCAGTCTTGAGGGAAAAAAATGGAGCTGGAGGAATCAGACTCCCTGACTTCAGACTATACTACAAAGCTACAGTAATGAAGACAATATGGTACTGGCACAAAAACAGAAATATAGATCAATGGAACAGGATAGAAAGTCCAGAGATAAAGCCACGCACCTATGGTCAACTAATCTATGACAAAGGAGGCAAGGATATATAATGGAGAAAAGACAGCCTCTTCAATAAGTGGTGCTGGGAAAACTGGACAGCTACATGTAAAAGTATGAGATTAGAACACTCCCTAACACCATACACAAAAATAAGCTTAAAATGGATTAGAGACCTAAATGTAAGACCAGACACTATAAAACTCTTACAGGAAAACATAGGAAGAACACTCTTTGACATAAATCACAGCAAGGTATTTTTTGATCCACCTCCTAGAGTAATGGAAATAAAAACAAAAATAAACAAATGGGACCTAATGAAACTTCAAAGCTTTTGCACAGTAAAGGAAACCATTAACAAGACGAAAAGACAACCCTCAGAATGGGAGAAAATATTTGCAAACAAATCATCGGACAAAGGATTAATCTCCAAAATATATAAACAGCTCATGCAGTTCAATATTAAAAAAGCAAACAACCCAATCCAAGAATGGACAGAAGACCTAAATAGACATTTCTCCAAAGAAGACATACAGATGACCAAGAAGCACATGAAAAGCTGCTCAACAACACTAATTATTAGCAAAATGAAAATCAAAACTACAATGAGGTGTCACCTCACACCAGTTAGAATGGGCATGATCAGAAAATCTACAAACAACAAATGCTGGAGAGGGAGTGGAGAAAAGGGAACCCTCTTGCACTGTTGGTGGGAATGTAAACTGAGACAGCCCCTATGGAGAACAGTATGGAGGTTCCTTAAAGAACTACAGATAGAACTACCATACAACCCAGCAATCCCACTACTGGGCATATACCTAGAGAAAACCATAATTCAAGAAGACACAGGCACTCCAATGTTCATTGCAGTACTATTTACAATAGCCAGGTCATGGAAGCAACCTAAATGCCCATCGACAGATGAATGGATAAAGAAGATGTGGTACATATATACAATGGAATATTACTCAGCCATAAAAAGGAACGAAATTGGGTCATTTGTAGAGACGTAGATGGATCTAGAGACTGTTGTACAGAGTGAAGTAGTCAGAAGGAGAAAATCAAATATCGTATATTAACGCATATATGTGGAAGCTAGAAAATGGTACAGATGAACCGGTTTGCAGGGCAGAAATTGAGACACAGATATAGAGAACAAACGTATGGCCACCGAGGGGGGTGGTGGTGTGGTGGTGTGCTGAATTGGGAGATTGGGATTGATATGTATACACTGATGTGTATTGTATAAAATGGATGACTAATAAGAAAAACAATAAATAAATAAACATTAAAAAATAAAAAATAAAATACACTGAAAATCAATCACTCCTCTAGATCTCTACTGCTACCAACCCCATCCCAACCACCCTTATTGCTCACCTGAACTAAAATAAAAACCTCCTGGGTGATTTCCTCCCATCTACTCTTGTCCCTCAGAACAATAGAAGCCAAATGATCAATTAAAAACATAAATAAGATCATGTACCTCCCTGTGTAAAACTCTCTCATGAATTCCCATTGCACTTGAAGGAAAATCCAAATGCCTCACACTGGGGTCTACCTGACTCTCAAATTCATCTCATGCCACATTCTCCCTCGCTTTGATCATGCTGGCCAAAACTGACAATTCCTAAAACCAGCCAAGCTGTTTCCTGCTCCAAAGTCCGTGATCATTTTTTCTCCTGCCTGGATATCATCTTTCTTGGCTGGGTCCTCATTAACCAGTTTTCAATCACAATAGACTTTCCTTGCCCACAAATTTTCCCTTTTGTACACTATTACTTCACACTATTTGTTCTGTTATACACTCACCTCAATCTTCAGTTATCTTGTTTGTTTATTTTGTATTTCCTCCCACTAGTATATAAAATCCTGAGGGCATGAAACAGTTTCACTGCTATTATTTCAGCATCATGTATAGTCCATATCAATAAATATTCCTCATAGGAATGGCAGAATAATGTAAGGGCAACCTGAGTTTTTGCTTTTATTTGCCACAGATAAACTATTATTTAAATTATGAGTCTTAGAGTAAAACTTTTACAGATCAGCCAATTCCTCTACCTAATCTACCTCAACTAAAATAATGAAAAATATCAATATGAATTTGGTGAAAACTTGCACAATATACAATAATGTACTAAAAGTTTATAACCTGGCTTCAGCAACCTTCTTGGCTTCATCTCTGGCCACAAACACACCTTAATTTGTGGCCATTTCTCTTTAGTAAATATAAATTATTCAGACTGGCTGCAACTCAACACATGTATGGCAAGAGAAGAAGCTAAGAAGACGGCTGAGGACAAATCAGGCTTTTGCACTGGACTAGGTGTTTATGTTTTAGTTTAGAGAGTCAAAGAGTTTTTTAACAAAGTCTGTATACTTTAAGAACAAACAGGGCATCTGATCAACTGGAAAAATGAGGGATTAGGGCTTCCCTGGTGGCGCAGTGGTTGAGAGTCCGCCTGCCGATGCAGGGGACACGGGTTCGTGCCCCGGTCCGGGAAGATCCCACATGCCGCGGAGCGGCTGCGCCCCGTGAGCCATGGCCACAGAGCCTGCAGGCTCCGCAACGGGAGAGGCCACAACAGTGAGAGGCCCGCGTACCGCAAAAACAAAAAAAAAAAATGAGGGATTAGATTCAGTACAAAGAAAGATCAACACCTAAATACTATAGACACAATAATATTTTTGCTATCATAGAATCAGTTTCATATTTCTTATGTGACAGACTAAAATTAGCTTTTTCCTTTCCTCTTTGAAATTAGGATTTCAAAGGTATTATACTAAAGTCTACATGTGTTTTTCCCAAATCTACCCCCAGAGAAAGTATGTGAAGTTGGCCTGATAAAATCCTGTGGAATCTTAGTTAGTATACTAGAATCTAGTAACTGTTCTTTCTACTGATAACACATTCACCTTATCCAATTCATTCCAAACTCTATCACATTTTAAAAACATCCTCTCTTGGTCCATATGCTTGCATATTCTATTTTTATTTCCAAAATGAAGTCTGCTTTCTAAATAAGTGCACCCCTAAAACGCTGCAAGATATATATTTTGTTATTGAAAATATTTTCCCATTTGTTGTCATTCTATAATTGGGAAATAGATTTTGGGAAATGTTAACACTTAATATGAATTTTCAAAATTAATACAAATATAACAATCTTAACTTTTTAAAAATAATGCCTATTGTGCAGGAGGCCCCAGTTCTCCCTTCTTCTTACTATAAGCCTTTTCTTCACTTACCTAACCTATCAAAACTTCAGATTTTGTAGCCCTCTGATTTTATTTCAATACTTGCTATTAAAAGTCTCAGGAAGGACAAAAAACGTTAAGGTCTACTTTCATTAGCACATTTCTTGGGCTCTACCATAATTGTTTTTCCATTAAAAAGGATTATTTGGAGAAAAAAAAGGGAAGAAATATAAATAATCAAACTTCCTTTCTGAGCCTTTAAATAATGTACTGACCAGAGCAACACTTTAGGTAACTCATGAAGTTCTATGTCTCTAAACTAGAGTCAAAAGTAAAGCTAGTTTCAGTTCTCAGGAAAAGCCCCACTCCTACAAGTTTTACCTCTCTTTCTCAAATCAGGAGTCAACATGTCCAGGGTGCAGAGCTATAGGCACAGCAAATAAAGCCATAAAGGGAAAAACTAGATCTTAGAACCCCAGTGAAGTCACACCACCTGCAAACCAAAACAAGTCATGTCTTTTCTGAGGAAGATTGTGTATAATATGGGGAATGAGTATTAGAGGATTAAAAACTTGGAGAACCACTGAAGGGATGAATAATGCGCAATCTGTCTCAGGAATCTCCTAACACAATTCACATCATAACAAAGCAGTAAGCAGTGGAAGAGACTAGCCCTTACCCTATTTACCCATACAAGTGAGCTGCAATATAGAGTTGCAGTATAACATAGTTTCATACTACTTCTTAAAATAAGCAAAACACAACAGAAACTTACCTTCAAAAAGGGACCCAAATTGGTATTTTCCACTAAAAAATTTTGGCAATGAATATACAAGTGCTCCCAATCCTATCATAAAGGATGCAAATGCAAGCCATCTTGGTTTGTGTCCTCTTTCACCAATGAATGATACAAATAAAGACAACAAACAGAATGCGATATCATAGCTTGATGATATCAAGCCTGTCAGGGAACTCTTCAATTCATAGCGCTTCTCAATAGTGGAAATGCTAATATTTACTAGGCCATTTACCACCATACCTAAAAGAGAGAAGAGGAAATTTAAGTGCATTATTACAACTTTACCATATAGATTATGATTATTAATGACATACTAAAATTTGATTGTTTGTTTCTTTTGATATTTTTAAATGTACCAATTTTAAAAATCTCAAAGTTTCAAAGCTAAGCAAGCCAAACATATTTCCTTTACAAATCAGCTCGCTTTTAAATTATACACTTGTGAATTTTCAGATGTTAAATAAAATTGATGCTTATCACATACTGAATTATAACTAACTTCATTTTTCTTTAAATGACATAAAGACCGGTAAAGTCTCATGAGGCTGGTTTGCTAGAGAGTTCCAGGTGTAGCATAGTCCCATGGACCTCGCTTGGAAGAGTACAAAATGTAGAGGTGATTGAGAGTTCAAATACTAAAACTGCTCAAATTACTCAATCTTTAAACATATTTATAACATGAGATCCTTGACTTAGTCTTAAGAAAGGTGAAATTGAGTTCTCAAACCTCTATTTTCTTCTAGCACTCTTTAAAGTTATCATTTAAAAGTTCCTGGAGCAAAAATAACAAACTGAAAGTCTTATTTTCACCACTGGCATTCTAAATAAAAGGCAAAGTAACAGAAAAAAGCAAAATAAAAAAAATTATACTTCATCTGCTCATTATAACCATGATGAAGGAGTACAAGATAAACAAGGAAAAGCTGAAAATCCAATTTGACTGACAACGAAAATGTCCTGTTTGGATATAGATTAAATATACAGAAGTTTAAATATTACTATAAAGTGAAAATAAAAAGCATCTGATCAAATTACAAAGTTTTTAACTGATTATTCCTTTTACTTAAGAGACTGCCATGAATTGTTTTCATTAATTAATTAACAGAAAGAGTATATCCAAGTCATGACCTCTATAATCTCTTCAAATTTTGCTTTATCAAGACTGTAACTAGGAATGTATTTCAAGAAAATTTATATAAGCTTTAAAAGTCCTAACATGATTTTTACTTTTATGCCAGTTTAATAAATCTATAAGCCAATTTATAATTCTTAATGTTTTAAGAAAAAATTTCTAAGGTACCTAGGAATGACACATTTATAAGGAGATAAGGTTGTCTGAGAATTTGAAAATTTCCCATCTAAAATCAACTTTCCGACACCCTTGCCATACTGATTAAAAGTCAGTCATTAGAACTCACTGTTTTTATGGTAAAAAATTTTCTAAGAAAGCAAATTTGCAAACTCTTGTGGAAATATAGCACTTTAAGCCTATGATCCCAATGTGAATTCTATGCTACACAAGTTCCAAGAATTTTGCTTTTAAAAAAAAGAAATTTCATGAAACATTGCATACTATGTCTATTGTAAATGCATGAAGCAATGAGGTACATTAGGAAATTAAGTGCTAAGAGAAATCCTGTTTATCTTTGAGAAGTGCTGGGTTAAGTAAACTCACTTGACAAGTTTTGGGTCTTTTTACCAATTAATCACCTATTACTATATCATGGAAATGGTCTTCCCAAGGATCTTGTTTGAAAAACAGAATAATAATCTTTTCACTCATTCAGACTTAAACCCAAATAAGAACTTACTGGGTCACTTTCATCACAGATTATGCTTCTGAAATTGGAGATTTCTAGGTAGAGTAGCTCCAGGCTAAACTTGACACATTTCTCTAAGAATTTCAATTATATTCAATAATAATTTTAAACAATATTTTATATTAAATGTAAAATGATATATTCTGGAATAATATTGAAATTTCAAAATACGTTTAAGGTAATACACAAGACAAGGAATTTTTTACTTGTGCCCAATTTCTTTGAACTTTGCATTCCCTTGACACTAAGATGCTTCACAATCACTGATTTTGGACAACTGAGATCAAGATGTTGAGAGGCGGCCAACTTTGGTGGGGACAAGAAAGGTGGAAAAGGAAGTAACTCTTTAGCACAAAACTGTCCCTAGTAGAAGAGCTTCAGACTCACAATCAACAAATATTTACTCAGCACCTAACCTGTGCAAGGGTCACTGAGTTGCTTTAAGACAGTGGAGCAGGAATAAGAACAGGAAGAATATATTTAGATATAGTCTTCTGTTAATCTTAAAAAAGAGCAATTTCAACCCACCTCCTCCCCCCATTTTTTTTTGGATTAGATTTCTTTCAGTCAGTCCTTGATTGCCTCTTTAAAAAATATTTTTAAACTATGACTCAAGTGACCAAAAAATACCTACATACTATCAAATTCTAGCTAACCATCAGCATGTCCTTGAAGATGCTGCACTTTAATGCCCCCCTCCTTAATTTGTCGCCTTAGTGTAACTTCCCATTTCTTTCATTCCCTGTATGCTTTCTTTCAGGAGAGTCATAGTCCCTCTGCCCTTCTACTCACTCCTCCAAATCAGGCTTAGATTGCAGACTCCTGAGGGTATAAACCTGGACTTTATCAGTAACTCCCAAGAGAATATAAAAGAGATCCTTGAACAAACAACCTTACCAGTTAACAACGCCTGAAGCCTTTGCGGATTTACTCACTGGGCTCCACGTGTGCATCCAATACACTCAAACTATACTCACAAAACACGAATGCCTAGATCTAACCGATACCATATATTTTCAGCAAGTTTCTCCTTCGAGAACCACCCTACCTCAACTGCAAAGTTATTAATTCTTCTCTTCCAGAAACAACGTAAAAAAAAATCCTTTTAATAAGGGGATTTAGCAAAATGTATGTTTTTGTAACGTACAGTGGATCTCCCCCGCCCCACCCCCCAGCAAAAGGTTCCCGAAGAAAGGCTCCACTCATCTTCTTTGTAGGAATCGAATCTTCTAGACTGAGGTAGAACACTAAAGAGAAAAAGCTTGCATGGCCAGTTTTAAATGTTTCCATAAAAGAGAAGCTAAAATGTAGATGCCTGAACCTCATTGGTTGACGTCGGCGCGAGCGCTTCCAAGTCCCAAGCCTGGGGCCACCTAGCTCGCCGCGTCGACACCTCGGGCTCGCGGCGCATCTGCCGTCTCCTCCCCGCCGGCCCTCCGCGCCACCCTCGCCCCGCGCAGGCCCACCGCCCTCTCGAGCCGGCTCTGGACCTTACCTTGCGTGAGGGCCAAAAGGCAGTAGTGAAACAGAAAGCCCTGGGGCGTGTTGCAGCACTGGAGACACTGGGGTTGGAAGTTGCCCCACCCGCAGGGCCCCTCCTCATACTCTGACAGTGACTCTGGCCCGGACCGCTCCTGGGAGCCAGGAGGAGTTACTGAAGAAAGAGGTGGCTCCGGGGACTTCTGGGACTCCTGAGGCTCCTGCGGCTGCGAACCCTCTCTCAGCGGATTGGTGGACAAGACAGAGACCTCGACGGAACAGGGCAATGGACACAAACGGCGCGGGCTGTCTGGACTGGAGGCGACGAAAGCCGGGTTCCTGATGCCTTTGCAGCCCTTCATGATCAGGGTGAGTTCTCCCGACTCCCGTGCGTCGGGAGCCGCAAAAAGCTAGGTCCCGCTCTGGCTCCTCCTCCGGGCAGGTGGCAGCGCCCCCGTGCGGGAAGAGTTCCCGCCTACCGGGCGTCCGTCGGCAAGGGCTCTCGCCGCCGCCGGGACACTCCTCCGCCAACTCGCGGCCGCCTGCGGCGCAGAACGCGGGCGTCTGGCCCCGCGGTTGTGCAGTTGGCGCTCCGCCGCGCCTCACCTGTCGCGTGGGCGTGCGGCCCCGCGGCCGCCACGGGAAGGAAAAAGGGCCCTCAGCCCACCTCGCTGCTTCCCAGAGCCCAGGGACTGAGAGCCAAATAAAGGCTGTGAGAGTCTCCTGGCCCTAAAGTTCCCCCTGGGTGCTGCCGGGAAGGCTGTAAACACAGTTGCATAAGGAGATCGTTCAAGAAAGTATCTGGCGGTTTTCTTCCCTTGCTGCTTACCAAACCAGGCTAGGTCTGGACTCCAAGAATCAAGCAGCCGCAGGTACAATACTTTGGATTCCATGAGCCACGTGGTAAGAGTTTCACCTGTAACCCTCCCTAGAAACGAAATCCCCACCCGCCCTTCAACACCGCAGCCATTAGCATCACGACAGAACCCCTTGTTTTAGCTTTCACTTCCCCCAAACTGAAGGAATAGGAACTCAGAAACTTTAAAGCCGTATATATAATATTCTTTCTGCTGTACATTGCCTATCTTAAGATTAACAATAGTGATAGTCATGTAAATAATTTCTACCTGTGGAATAAATAAGAAAAACACTTTGAAGAACTGAAACCATTATGCTAATTGTAGTTACAATTCATTCATTCATCCTTTCATTCATTCATCAAAGCATATTTATTTCCTGAGTGCCGAACACTGTTCTAAGTTCTGGGGGTACAATAGTGCACAAAAACTGACAAACACTCCTACCCTTATGGTACTTTCATTCTAATGGGAGACAGAAAATAAGTAATAAATATGTAGTACATCTCTACAAATGCTATGGAGAAAAGTAAAGCAAGGACAGGCTGGAAAGTGTGCGTGTGTGTTAGGGGAAGGGGGAGAATTTGATGCAATATCTTAAAGAGGGTGGTCAGGGAAGGCCTCGCTGAGAAGGTGATATTTGAGCAAAGAACTGAAGAAAGTTAAGGGAGGGAGCCTGGTATATTGGGGAAGTAGTGTGACTGCGGTGGAATGAGATGGTTGGAGAGCAGTGGGAGTTGAAGGCAGGTAAAGGGGTGCAGGTGGGGTGAGGGAGAAGTGATTGGGGCCAGACCCTGTAGGCTATTATAAGGACTTTAGCTTTTATTGTGATTAAAATAGGAAGGTTTGGAGCTAAGGAGTGACATGATCATGGTATGATTAGATTTTCAAAGGACTCATTCTCTATCCCCTTCTAAAGATACACTAATACATCCCAAAGTAATATATTTTAAACAGAGACATTTTTAAAACTATATATTACAGTCTTGGAACGTTTATCTTTCCCTAAATGAACTATTTATTCCAATAAGGAACATAATAAAAACCACAAATATTTTCTTTTTGCTATGTAATCAGGACTACATACACAAAGCTGTTATGCTTCATAAGACTGCAGATTGTTAAGGAACCTACTTCCTCAAATCTAATTGTTGGCTGTAAAACTTCTCAAAGAATATGTCTGAACTACCTTTAGCAAAGTTAATAGAGGTCTCAGATATTACTGGATACTATACTGATATATGATATTTTCAGCACGTTAGTACTATTATTCATTTATAAGGGTCCTTTCATAGAAAGTTAGAGTACTTCACTAAATATTAATTAATCATGCTATCAAGTTCTAGAGATAGTTTTCTAGTCTTCCTATCTGCATTTAACACCTGGCTGGTTGCCTAGCCAAGAAGCTACTTCTAGATTCAGTGCTAATACCTCTCAAATAGCAATGATTTGGTAGCATATGATGGTCATATCCAAGTGTAGCCTTAAACCCAGAGAAGAGAGTATGGTGATGGAAAGTTTACCTCTCATCCTGAAACAAGATGTTTTTATTTATAACTGTAGACAGTAGGCTCACTTAAAGTGGCCTAGAGGAATGTTTTCCAAACACTATTACCTTTTAATGAAATAAAGTAGAATTCAGAAGAAAAAAAATACACAGTGCATGACATAGTACATTTTCACAAGTACTATTTTGTGAAAATTTTGTTTCACTTATATACACCTATTTTACTGAGTTGAGGATTAAGATATAAAACATTTATCTTATTTTGAACAGACATACATTATGTTTTTTATTCCCTCACAGTCAAAAAAGGTCTAGACTGGCCTAGAACCTAAGGAAAGAGCAGAAGTAGGAGCTAACATTTTTTTAATGTCTGCTATATATCCCATTATTAATCCTTACAAGAGCAGTATCTATTAACATCTTCATTTTACATATTAAAGAAACTACATTCCAGAGAGGATTAGCAACTCTTCCAATGTCATATAGCTAATAAATAGCCAACCTTATTAAGGATTTGAACTTAGTTCTCTCAGTTAGGTATCTTCCCTGGACTTTGCATTTTCTCTCTTATAATTGTTACAGCCTGTCTTTGTGGTTAGGATTATTGCATAGCAATTCTGAGAGATCAAAACTCCTATTTATCTCGTATTGATGAGATTTAGAAGACTAAGGCTGCTCTGAATTCCCCAGATTTGGCAGATATTCAAATTAGGCTTGGTATGTAATCCTCCTAGGCCTTCTACCGAAAAAAGTTTCGACAAAAATAAACTTACAGTGGTGTTTAAATGTGTAAATAGATATGATCACCATTTTATCTATGAAACATGAATTAATTTAACCAATCAGCAAAGTTTGCTTTGTTGAGATGTAAATACATTCATGGTTTAAGACTATTTTGCAGCTTTGAATGAACAAATTCAAACTATCAAAATCAAAGTAGCATAATCTTTATGCACTTAAATCCATAGTGTCTAAGGAGAAATCTCCACTGTTGCAGTGAGGAAGAGTAGAATTTTGTTGAAAGATTAGCAAAAGCGCTATTGCTTCGTGCTGAGTACTTCTTGGTCTTCATGAAATAGTTATCAACACTACTTTCCTGTTCCCTTAAGTTCAGGTTTACAACAAAGAAAACAAAACAACTGCATGGATTTTGTCTGTGATAATTCTGTGGAAAATTGTCATTTAAAAATTCTTTATTCAACCTAGCGTAAATCTAATGAGCATAGTCAAAATACCATCTTAAATTTCAGGAAGTAATTAATAAATTGCTATTCTTTTAGCAAATTTCATTTGCTATATTTTTAAACTGTGGAGAATGGGAGAAAGAATAGTATCCAGATTTTAAAGTAGAATTCCACCAATGTACACAGAAGCAGATGTCCCTGCCTATGGGTTTCATTTTCTGGGATGTGCAGCAGGTCTTCCCTATCAGGAACTGGATGAACCTAGGTAAAGTGGCTTAATGACAGAAGCTTCCAAGACTATCCCACCAACTCCCCTTGCTCTGATTCCATGCTGAAAAGCATTCTAAGGATTATATTTTTGCCTTCCAAGTAGGTATGCCTATAGGGTGAAAATGTACTTATATGCCTATTTGAGTATTTTATCATATTCTTTTCTGTTTGCTTTTAATTCCTTATTAGTTCCCTTCCAGTTTCAGACTGCTGTGAAATCTTTAGCAGTATAACACTATGAGGCTCATAGAATATTAAAATTGGAGGGATCTTGAGGAAGGCTGAATGGAAAGATGGTCAAACGCAGATATTTTCGAGATAATTTAAAATTTCAGCATTCATATACACAATATTATATATAAAATGGATAACTAATAAGGACCTACTGTATAGTCCAGGAACCCTTCTCAATACTCTGTAATGACCTATATGGGAAAAGAATATATATATATATATATATATATATATATATATATATGTATGTATAACTGTACAGCAGAACCTTACACAACATTATAAATCAACTATACTCCAATAAAAATTTTTTTAAAAGAAAAAAACAAAGCAAGACAAAACAGAAGGAAGCAACACCAGAAAAAAAAATTTTTTAAATCCCAACATTAGGAGAGGACTGGGGTTGGCGGCGTGAACACAGCCTGCAGGGGGTTAGTGCACTACGGCTGGCCGGGAGGGAGTCCGGGGAAAAGTCTGGACCTGCCGAAGAGGCAAGAGACTTTTTCTTCCCTCTTTGTTTCCTGGTGCGCGAGGACCAAGAGGGGACTAAGACATTTAGAGAGGAGCTAACACCCATCCTTCTCAAACTCTTCCAAAATATAGCAGAGGGAGGAACACTCCCAAACTCATTCAATGAGGCCATCATCACCCTGATACCAAAACCAGACAAAGATGTCACAAAGAAAGAAAACTACAGGTCAATATCACTGATGAACATACATGCAAAAATCCTCAACAAAATACTAGCAAACAGAATCCAACAACACATTAAAAGGATCATACACCATGATCAAGTGGGGTTTATCCCAGGAATGCAAGGATTCTTCAATATATGCAAATCAATCAACATGATACACCATATTAAGAAACTGAAGGAGAAAAACCATATGATCACCTCAGTAGATGCAGAGAAAGCTTTCAACAAAATTCAACACCCATTTATGATAAAAACCCTGCAGAAGGTAGGCATAGAGGGAACTTTCCTCAACATAATAAAGGCCATATATGACAGACCCACAGCCAACATCATCCTCAATGGTGAAAAACTGAAAGCATTTCCACTAAGATCAGGAACAAGACAAGGTTGCCCACTCTCACCACTCTTATTCAACATAGTTTTGGAAGTTTTAGCCACAGCAATCAGAGAAGAAAAGGAAATAAAAGGAATCCAAATCAGAAAAGAAGAAGTAAACCTGTCACTGTTTGCAGATGACATGATACTATACATAGAGAATCCTAAAGATGCTACCAGAAAACTACTAGAGCTAATCAATGAATTTGTTAAGTAGCAGGATACAAAATTAATGCACAGAAATCTCTGGCATTCCTATACACTAATGATGAAAAATCTGAAAGTGAAATCAAGAAAACTCTCCTATTTACCATTGCAACAAAAAGAACAAAATATCTAGGAATAAACCTACCTAAGGAGACAAAAGACCTGTATGCATAAAATTATAAGACACTGATGAAAGAAATTAAAGATGATACAAATAGATGGAGAGATATACCATGTTCTTGGATTGGAAGAATCAACATTGTGAAAATGACTATACTACCCAAGGCAATCTACAGATTCAATGCAATCCCTATCAGACTACCACTGGCATTTTTCACAGAACTAGAACAAAAAATTTCACAATTTGTATGGAAACACAAAAGACCCCGAATAGGCAAAGCAATCTTGAGAACGAAAAACGGAGCTGGAGGAGTCAGGCTCCCTGACTTCAGACTATACTACAAAGATACAATAATCAAGACAGTATGGTACTGGCATAAAAACAGAAATATAGATCAATGGAACAGGTCAGAAAGCCCAGAGATAAACCCACGCACATATGGTCACCTTATCTTTGATAAAGGGGGCAGGTATGTACAGTGGAGAAAGGACAGCCTCTTCAATAAGTGGTGCTGGGAAAACTGGACAGGTACATGTAAAAGTATGAGATTAGAACACTCCCTAACACCATACACACAAATAATCTCAAGATAGATTAAGGACCTAAATGTAAAGCCAGAAACTATCAAACTCTTAGAGGAAAACATAGGCAGAACACTCTATGACATAAATCACAGCAAGATCGTTTTTGACCCACCTC